GGGGGTTGTTCTTTTGGATGAATGTTTAGTGCAAGTCTAGTTAAGTGGTACAAGACAAAAATAAGGATGAATATGAAATAGTACTGTTATCCCAGTGACCTAAGTGTTAGCTGGCAACTTTTACTGGCCAGATACTAAAAATCTAGCAGTTAAGAATGGCTTGTATGAATGTATTTTTAATGGAAAGAAAATACAGCCAGGGACCTTGGGAGAGTGAAAGTCATGAATTTGGAACCTGGAGGATTGTAGAAGAGGTAGGAAATATTAATTCCAGCCTCCTCCTTTATATAGCACATTAATCCTCTGGCAATGGCAGGCTGCAATGTAGGTAGTCAGGGATGTGTGAGTGACCTTAGAGCAAAGTGCAGCATGTTTGCTAGCAGGTGGATACCTTTGTCGTTGTTGGGCACACACCAATATCTATCAAAGTTTGAAATCTTGCAGCATGCTTGAGCAATAATTCCTTTGGCCTATGAGTCCTGTCGAATAGAGACAATCAGTATGCAGTGCATTTTATCTAAAACACAAGGCCCTAATGGAGGCCTTGTGGACCTTGGGAGAGTTGGAAAAGTGACCTGGTAAAGAGGATGGAATGTAGCTTGGCAAATGTGCTAACCCAAATGGGTGAGTTAAGGATATCCAAGCTTTGATGAGGGCCATATCTGCACTTGATAATCTCACTTCCAGCTCCCTCCTCTGGATATCTGAGCAATGTGATCGCCTGAAAAAGCTGCCATCCCATTCAGAGGACAAGCAGCAGCAGAGTTGGTATGTGTCCTTAGAAGTCCGAACTATTTTAAGAGCAGGTGCTATTCCTAGCACTAGGACACACAACTATCTACAGCCAGAAATTCAAACATAGAGGCTGTGGACATGCAGACCTTGGTCTGCAGATGAGCAGTACAGTTCAGTTGCTCTTAAATTGACAGACTTCATACTGTACAGGTTGCCAATTGAGCAGATCTCCTCTGTTGTTGGCTAGTTCCCATTGTTCAGCTGAAAGTACAAACGCTGTGTGCAACAAATGTCCCACCAGTTAGTCATGCATTTTCTGAAACCAGAATCCCATGAGTATCCTCTGAGGGTAGCCACAGAGGGAAGAGAGCCAAAGGAATCCAAAGTGATCTATGAGAAGATTCCTTGCCAGGCCAGATTGCTGTAGTGACTCCTGCTGTAGTCATAGGCTCCCTATATACTACTTGTACATGGGCCTGTTTGTGTATCATTGTTTATTTACAGTAGTACAGCTGACATAGTAGGTTGTGGAGAGCTCTACTCTCCAAGGAGCTTGCAGTGGGGACTGGGATAGCACAGGTGCTAAGGTACACGATAGACAGCTCAGAGGTCACTAGCTGAGGGTCCAGTCAAGGTTTTTGCTCTTTTCCCCAGCACTCTTTTGACAAGAAATGCTAATTCAAAGGGGAAGGTATGCTCCTATTTCAGGAAGGAGTGAGATATTTTTTTTAAACTGATCTTCAGCTTCCTGGCCTGGGGCTGGTTTAGTGATGATGATTTTACAGTTGTGCACTGTGCTGTAAGTATACCTCTCCATTAATTCCTCTTCTGTCAGAGATGAGGGAAGGACTCCTACTGTGGAGGTAGGGGAACAGTTTATAACTGCTCTGTGACAAACCACTCCAGGCCTTCCTGAGCAGTCCATGGCTGAGCCTTTCCCCCTACCCCATGTGTTTGCTTCATTTAGGCTTATGAAAAACGGTTTCCCACCTGCCCAGAGATCCCTGTGTTCCTGGGTAGCGAGATCCTTCATGAATCCAGGAGTGATGATGGAGCCATTCATATCATCGAAAGGAGCTGCAAACTAAATGTAGATGCCCCCCGGTTACTGAAGAAGGTGAGTCCGTTCTGACATACGTGACATCTCAGAATTTCTGGGCCTGTGCCTCAGTAGAGGCTTGGCTCATTAAAGGTTGCAGCTATGATGACTTTGGTCACTCATCTCTTAAAGTCTTCTTCCTCCTCAGATTGCTGGTGTAGAATTTGTCTTTTTCATACAGAAGAACACTGTGAACTGGAAGGAGCGAACTCTCCTCATTGAAGCTCACAATGAGACCTTTGCCAACCGTGTTGTTGTTCTTGAGACATGCAGTTACTCGGTAAGAGACCTTTCTCATAAACAGTATTCCTTTTTGAGAGCCATGGGGCTCTTTAGCTTGGAAAAGCACAAGCTCAGGGGTGATCTGATGGCCACCTATAAGTTTATTGGGGTGACCACCAGGATCTGGGGGAACATTTGTTCAACAGAGTGCCCCAAGGGATGATGAGGTTGAACAGTCATAAACTACTGTGAGACTGTTTCAGGCTGGACATAAGGAAGAACTTCTTTACTGTCCGAGCCCCCAAAGTCTGGAACAGCCTGCCACTGGAGGTGGTTCAAGCACCTACATTGAACACCTTCAAGAGCAAATTGGATGCTTATCTTGCTGGGATCCTATGACCTCAGCTGACTTCCTGCCCTTTGGGCAGGCGACTGGACTTGATGATCTTCCGAGATCCCTTCCAGCCCAGATGTCTATGAAATCTATGAAATTTTTGTTCATTGCAGAGATAAGAGGGAGTGGTTGCTCTGAAGCATCTGTAAGCTGGGCTGTACATAATTCAGTGTGATTCAGAAGTTTCTTGACTTGGATTGCAGGCAACATTTTGATGGCCTGTTGGGCCTCATAATGGGTGGTGTCTGGGGTCTGACGAGTTATTGTGGCTTCATTCAAACATTGGCTCGTGGTCCCAGAATGAGGTCACAGAGTGCAGGGGAGAAACAGAGATCTGTTCAGATTTGACATAAAACTTTTTCTGGCTCTCTCCAGTTTGAGGTAGAGACTGAAGTCAGCAGGAGTGGCTGACCAGCGCTGGGTCTTGGTCTTGGGCTGGAGGAAGAAGTTGTGGAAGGAAACTCTGATACAGGTTTCCCTCACCAACTGCTGGGGTTAGGTTCCTGAAAGTTCCCATGGCTGGCAAAACTCTGGTTGGGAAGACAAAAGGCTTATGGGAAAAATGGCAGGTGGCGGGCTGATGCTTAGCTGCTGAAAACCGTGGTTACTCAAAACTGTATGCCGTGGTAGCCAAAATAGTATATAGAACGTTAAGTGTGGATACTCAGAACTGTGGTTGGCAAAAACGTGGTTAGCAAGGGAAACCTGTACTTATGGGTGGGCAGGTCAGGCAGGTGAGGTCCTACTTTTGCTTCCAGATGAGTGCAGTTTTGGCTTCTTTAGCTCGTGTGTGTTCCCCCCCCCCCGACTTGCTTCTGTTTGTAATTCTAATATTATAAAAGCCTTTATCTGTCTATCGGTCCATAACGCTTTATTCATGCTCTGATTTGGCTGACTGAAGCAGGGTGCTGGAGGAGGGGGATGGCAGGGCGAGCCCCCCCCCCCCCCC